TCTCTGTTCGAAAGTGGTAGACCGAGCTACCAGGGGCTTTCAAGTGACGAAGCAACTCCTACGCACGAGCTACGGGAAATGGCAACTACACCACTAGGGTTGCTGTTCTACTTCATGCCTAAGCAGTTGTGGGTCGACATCGCGACTGAAACTAACCGCTATCGAGCCCAGAACATTGACTCAGAAGCCAAGAAAATACGCTCAAGCCAGAGGCGTAACAACCGTATCGCGTCACCAGAAACACTTTTGCAGATACGACGGCGTTTGAGGGCTGCGAAGGCGTACGATACCTGCGAAATCTTGCACGTGATCGGGCTGCTTGTTGCGCACATGTTGTGCCCCCACAAGCAACGGTTTTCGAAGCACTGGGCGATGGCGTGTGACGGAGCTTTACCTGCTGGTACCTTTGGCAAATATATGCCACGCAACCGATGTACAGCTATCCTACGTGATCTACACTTCACAAACAACAATGCACCCCGCACTCGAGACAAACTGTGGAAACTGCGTCCGGTCGTCGATATCCTGCAGCAGCGCTTCCAATCTGGCTGGACATTGCCGGCAGTGTTTTCGTTCGATGAAGGTGTGTTACCAGCAACGTCTCGGCGGAACACTACGCGGATGTTTATGTCAGCTAAACCTCATCGGTACGGTACCAAACTTTTTATGGTTTGCGACTCAAAGACAGCTTACTGCCACAGGTGCGTTAGTATCCTTTTTTCAAAGTCGTAACTTCTGACATCTCTAGCAATTCTGAAAAGCTAACGTCGTAACTTACTGGTTTAGGTTTGAGGTCTATGTTGGAGCCCGTGAATCAACAGACGGAGAATCCACCACTATCGACAACAAGACGGGTGCGGCTGCCGTCATTCGCAACATGAAAATTTTACTTGGCGACTGCTCTAGTGGATTTCGAATGGTCGTTGTCGATCGGTATTATTCGTCCGTAGCGCTGGCTTTACAGCTCCTCGGTATGTCTATCTACGTCGTCGGAACTATCATGACGAACCGCATTGGATTTGACCGTCAAGTCGATGAAGGCCGTCGGACGCGGCCTCGTGGAGTTGAGAGAGGAACCTTTACGTTCTCGCGCTGCGAGGCAGCACCTACAATGGTTGCGTGCCACTAGTGGGATAGAAAGCCAGTCCATTATTTGGCCACGGGTGCATCGATGGAGGAGGATACGATTCAGCGCAATGTGAAACAAATTGGGGCGATTACTGTGAAGTGTCCCAAGCTAGTGACCGATTATCAGCGGTGGATGGGCGGAGTTGATATTCATGATCAACTCCGCCTGCAGTCGTTCTCAATTCAAATGGCTTATCGGTTTCGAAAGTACTACAAGTCCTTATTTTTAGGCTTCCTAGATCTGGCGATCGTGAATGCTTTTATCACACACAAGGAGGTATGCCGGGCCGCGAGAATTGCGCCAATGTCTCGTGCTGCGTGGATGGCTGTCTTCCACAACCAGCTCCTGCAGTTAAAACCCGAAGATTTCGACTTGGATCCTATAGCAACTCCACAGTCATCCGCTCCCTCCAGGCGAAAACGTCGTCGCCTCCCACAGCACATCTACAAACAGTACGATGACTGGGTCATTGTGTCCGGCGTTCAAAAGCGTAGACAGCGTGCGTGTAAGGTATGCTCACTTCTTCGCGGTGAAAGAAAAAAAAATTTTCCAGACGACATTCTACTGTGAAGACTGCTCCAGCGGCGAGGCCAAATTTTTCCTCTGCCCGAAAGCTCGGCGTGAGTACTATGGAATCGCGAAAACATGCTTCCAGATTTGGCATAAAGATTTTGAGTGCGGAAAATCAATTCCTGAGTCACTTGGGAAACGAGTTGTGTTTCGACGTCCGGCCAAGTTTGGAGCGCGCAAGAAAACACGCCGTGAGTTGTTGCGGGAAGAGGAGGACGATGCTGATGACGAGGGCGAACTGCGTATGTAGCTAAAGTTTAAAAACGCCATAAAACGGGGGTTTGATTGTAGTATCTCGAGTGTCGTTGTTTTATGTAATTGATTTTGTACTTGGGTAGTACATTTCTTGAATCAGGCTTTAGTAGAAGTCGTAAGTTGAGACTTCTCTATGCGTTGGCGTTTAGAAGAGGTCGTAAGTATACGACATGTGAGGACCAAACACTTCAAAACTTTATTCACCATCGCCGATGTATCCTACGGCAAAAGGGGCGCCCCTATACAATAATGCTGTTATTAGGACGTCGTAAGTTACGACGTAATGTTTGCACGTTCAGAGACTCCATTTGCGGTAACAGAGGGGTTAAGTCGAAGCCGTCCGTGTTCTTGGCCGTGCGGTCACCAGCGCTCGAGTCGAGTGTGAGCCCGCTGATGGTTGTCTTTTGGGAGTTGAGGGCACTGAAGGTACGGAAAGGCGAGTTCTTGGTCTTGAAACCCGAGAGCGTGGAGCCCGTGACGCGGTTAAGACGGAAAAAGACGGGCCGGCTGATGGACGTGCCCTGCTTCCAGTACCAGGCGCCTTGGCCGTCCAACGTGCCGGAACCGCTGACCTTGAGGTTGCTGCCACCGAGTAGAACGAGTGGACCGGCCCACTTCTTTTGTCCGAACGTGACGTTGCCGGAGATTAAAATGTTGGCGCCTGTTTTGGCCTTGCTCAGGTCCAGCGTGACACCGGCGGGTACAGTGAGCGTGCCTATGGTGATCGTGCTGCAGGACGAGATGGAGGTTCCTGCCTTGTAGGTGCCGCTGAGCGTGCAGCTGGAGGCCTCCTCCTGGCGCATCATGGGCGATCCGTTGACGGTGGCGGCGAAGAGAGCGAGAGCGGCGAGCGCGGTGGAGAGGAGCTTCATGGTTAGGTGGGCTGTGCTCGTTGGTGGAGGTGGTGACTACCAGAAGGCACAAATGAGAATGAGACTAAAGGAACAGAGCGGACTGTGGAGTGATACTGGCGGCTTGTGCAAGGAAGCGTAGGAGTGAGGTGTACGTTACTTTGCTGTCTGCGTCTCCGTCGCTGGGCTGTTAGAATCGGCAATCACGTGAGCCCAGATCCCACCCCATGTGGGAATGCGGCACTTGAGCCGAGCGTCTTGCCGCAGGACTCCTACGTTCCAAGCAAATCTCCACTTCAACGTTGTCGTGCGCAACGAAGGTCATCCATATCATTTTAATGCGTTGATCATCGCATCACGCTTGGCGAGTCGCCAATGGCGACTGATACCAGGGTATCGTCCCGTTGAAGCGCCCTTAAAACAAGACTTTCGTGTATTAAATATCGCTCGCGACACGACCCCCCCCCCCTTCCCCACACACACATACACTTCATCAAACTACACCTTTGCCAGTCCAAATCGGCGACAGTGTAAAGCAAAGTGGAACGTCCCGTAATTAATTTTTTTTAATTTTTGAATTTATTTTTTTAGAAAAAGCCTGTCATGCAAAGTTGATTTAGTGTAGTGCAAAACTTTACGTGCCGTACTCCATAGGTTCGCTACGAATAGCTGCCGCCACTGACGACGCACAGTGGCGCGCCATCTTGTTAACCAAGCGCAGATTCATACATGGCAAGCTATGCTCTGCAGCGTTTTCAAGCAGCTGCATCCGGCGCTCTGTTTTCTCTCCGTGTGGAGCAAGAAACATTACGTCATGACTTAAGGCAAGATAAGCGTTAATGCGTGCTTTTAATACACTAAAACACCCTGCCGCACAGTAAAATAGACACAAATGTTAGTACATGTGCACGCTATAATTGTCTGTAAAACGTACCCTCAATCGGGTTACGCATGGGGGAGTATGGCGCCAACCGCAACAGCTCCAAGTCCTCCTGCTCAGTAATCAGATCCTCAGTCTGGCTATGAGCAGGAGCGTTGTCTAAGACAATGACAACCGTCTTGCCAGCGAAGTGGTCGCGGTACACGTCGTGGCGCTTGACCGCAGGTGCTGACACGAACTCCAAAGTCGAAGTGCAGCATCTCCTGCATCTGCACGAGCGTGTATTGGCAGTTATCCTCCAGGTATTCTACGAGGGCCTCCTCCATCTCCGGCGTGCACTTAGTGCATGTCGCCCGCGCGCCGCCTCTCTTCTTGATGTCCGGGGTTCCTCGCTCGACGATAGTCCGAGCCGTTGTAGCTGGAATTCCGTTGCAATCGGCTACTAAGGCCCAGTCCTGCCCAGCCTTGTGTGCGTCGAGAACGCGTGTCCGGGCCGCGAGGCCATGCTTTGGTTCTGTTGGCATGATGCCAGAAGAAGAGGTTTTGATGCCGACCACCAGTTAGCTCTGCACTAAATCGCCATTGCTCTAAAGTCAATTTTTGAAAATAAAAATTAAAAATTTCTTTGTCACTTAAGTTACTTCACACCGCTTTGCTTTACACTGTCGCCGATTTGGACTGGCAAAGGTGTAGAAGAACGTTTGCCTGAAGACGAGTTATTTCGATGTAAAGTAGTTTGCAAGTCCTGATATGATTGGTATACATAGTCAATATAGCGGTTTCTAAAATGAGTTTTTTTTAAGAAATCTGTAAAGATACAGTGTCAAAGGTTATTTTTTTTACATCTTCCTTAATGAGGCAAAATACTGTAATGCCCCTTGCTGAATCAGTTAATTTTAGTCTCTAGGATAGTCGACTAAGCCACCTACACGTACTTAGTTTCTGGAATATATCGTCACCTTGGAATAAAATGTTGCAATAAAATCGTACTTAAAACGTAACTTGCATATTTATATACCAAAAGCTTGTTCCAGAGGAATACAGGAGGGTCGAGATATTCCAGTGCCATAGCTCAGCGAATTCCTGTAAAACCCTATAACCCGATAAACTCGACGTCAGTCTAGGTGGTACCGCACCAATTGCGTGCGGCAACCTTGGGCAAAGGGAGTCAACCAACCTGCAAAATCTCGGCGCCAGCCACGACCCCCCGCGCGACTCCAGGTAAAAGCCGACAGAAGCCCCAGAGCATTGGACAAACGCGCTAATCAGCTCCTTACCTGGATACCTTCAGAGACTACAGTACGTGTTCATTCCGATGGTGTCACCGGACAACGTGTCGCTAACTACAACGATAATGCAGTCAGACGTCGAGTTGGACGGTGACGAGCCACAAGTCTTGCAAGTCGTGGCAGCGCCACCCGTACGCAGTGGTGGAGGCGATGACGAGACCCTCTGCTCAAGCGACTGTGTCAAGTAAACAAGAGCGAGAAAGCCCGCAAAAAGCGCATCGCGTACTCGGTGAAAGCAGACTGCATGCTCATGAACGAGGTGGTTGGTGATGACGGGATCTTCTAGCTTCATAGCGCCTCGAAGCCGGAGCGGTGGGTCGAAATTACGGAGCGTCTGGGCTCAGCGCTGAGCAAGGAGCTGTCTGCTGGCGGTGTACGCAAGCACGTTGACAAGTTGAAAAAAAAGAGTACCGATCGAAGCGCGCAAAGGAGCGAGCCATGTCAGGTATGACTTATGCTACGGAATTTTGTTCGCTGGTTGTGTGTAGACTACACCTATGTATACCGCAGGCCAAGAACCACATAAGTCTGTCGACGAAAACGAGCTGGAGCGCTTGGTGGAGGTTTACGTTCAGAAGAAGGACGATGGAACCTTGGTACAAAGCAAACGCACCGAATCCATGACCAAAAAGGTTGCCATGACAGGTCCTGGTGATGCATTAGCTCTGCTGCGTACAGCGCGGCGGCTTCGGCTTCATATCCCATCGCGTACAGCGCTAAGACGCGGAAGCGCGCTTTCTTCTCGTCGGCATCGCATTTCCCCCTGTTCAATCTTGTAGTTTCTTACCCTAGCCTCTACGGCTATGGCACAGTGTACGGCAACCTGCCTAAACTTCAAAGTGTATCTTTGGAATATCACTCGAGCAAGAAACTGGTCCCATATTCCAGTAAAGTTTATTCCAGAAACTAAAGTTCTCTATTATTGCGCGGCACATATTTTAGTTTGACCCAGCGCAAGCAGTCACCTGAGGTGGGGGTTGACTCGCGATAGATTAGTATTAAGTACAATAAAGAAATTACTTAAAGAATGGATCGAAACTTTAATCCTGGTAGTGCTACAAGTAGTAGTACGTACATCCCTATAGAGTTATGTAGCGTACATCAATAGTAGGAATCGATTCGATTCAAATTTGAAATGAGGTGGTCTTATTTTCTAACCAAACTCTATTAAGCTCTGAAGGTTTCACTTTCGTAAAAGATTTTGCTAAGATATCATGAGATGCAGTTAGATCACTTGATTGATGGACATGGACAAAATATAATAGTGAGATTCGTCAGTGTCGATTTTGAGGTTAACAATCAGATGGTAGGGATTTGGAGACGCCTTTACGAGTATTAAAGTTAATAGTTCTTCCTGCGACGAAAGATATCCCACACTGGCGTCCTCTGTTCGTTTCTAAAGCTGAAAGGGATCGATCGTATTCCGAGCTGATCCTTAAAGCCAGTCGCCGGTGCTCGCGATATTTATTAGTTTTCGTCACTGCCCACTGTAAAGCTTGCTAACGTGCGGCGCTGGAGTAGATGCAGTTTCTGTCCAAGTCTTTGTTGCGAATATTTCTGGCATTGTAAATTGGTTTTTTCACGCTGTTTGAACGGCAGCCAAGCTTGCAGGTGTCCGAAAGCAGTTAAGGATGGCGTCATGAATTTATCTATCCTTTCAAAGAAACCTTTCGTAGAAGTCTCACTTCCCAATCTGCGACGCAGTGGGTACACTAATTACCCGAGGCAGAGTATAATCTACGGAAGGACTGGTTCAAGGCACAAATACTTGTGAAGACAGGATGCAGCCGCCTAGGCCTCCTCCCCCCGATTAGGGACGGGGCAACAACGCTCCCCACAATAAACAAGTGACGGGTGCAGTGAGCGCAACGAAAGGCAAGGCGGAAGCGGGCGAAGCAGGAGGAGAAGAGAGGCAAGCAGGAAAGGAAAAAGAAAAAATCGAAAAAAATCAGAAGATCAAAGGGTCGATGATGAAGAGGCGCCGGCACAATGGTCGCAGGACTCGATCGTTCCAGAGACGCAGCCGTCGCAAGATGAGGATGAGGACATGACCGAGCACGTTGGGGAGGAAGTGCAGACGGTGACGCAGAACCCAATCGCACATCTAGAGCCAAATGAGACGGAGGCCGATGGTAACGGAGGGGATAATACTAGAAGTCAGACGGAAACACGATCCGGATCACGGGCAGAGGACAAACGAAGTCACCACTCTAATATCACAATAGTGAACCGAGAAGCCTCAGAGCAATCGAACGCATATCCCGTCGAAAGGGAAGGGGTACAAGAGCCACAACGTGATGAGGTTGCAGATTCAGAGCTGGGGGCCCAGGAGGGGGCCGCAGACACCCTGCCCATCCTAGAAGAAGTGAGCACGGTTGAGCCTGAAGAGATGTTTAGTGCGATGGTGACGATCATCAGGGCAAACTCAGGAGAACAACCTAGAGAGGAGTGGGTCACCTCTATTGCTGAACTCTATGCGATCATTCACCGTACAGTCAGTATCGAGGAAGACATTGTGCCCCCCAATAAGAAGAGATAACCAAAGCTGCGAGGAGATGAGAGAGCATTGCTCTATAACCTGTTTCGTGAGCTCAATGTTGTAGACCATGGAACATTTGCAACCTGAAAAAAAGCATCGTGGCAGTGACCCAAGACTTGCTAAACACCCGCTGGATATTCAAGAACATTATGTACAGCAGGATTATCAAGGCCCGGTGGGCACGGACCCCCCCACTCAATCAGTGGGCGGAAAAGGTGAAAAATAGCACATCAGCAGCGGGGTCCAACTCATCTAGGGGCCCAGCATCAGGCGGACAGGGCGGTCACTACGACGCCTTCATGTTTAACCCCGCGTGTTTCTCAAAACCGGAAATCGTCAAGCTACAGGCGCTATGTGAACAAGCTCACGCCAATCACGGAGATTTTCAGCTAAGAGAGGCATCAGCGGACGAGTGGAAAGTTATAGTAGGCATAGCAGAGGGCACCATAGCATGCAGGCGGATGCCAGACTTCCTAAACAGCGTGTTTGATTCACAAGAGCGACTTCGGCTTCACACCACCATTCAGCAACAAGTGGAAGGCGAGTTAGTACTACAATTGCGGGGAAGAGCAAGAGTGAGATAGAGCCGGCAGCAGACTCGGCTGATTAAGGAAGACATCTTGCTAGATGCAGCCAAAGCTCGACTTAATGTGCACGAGTTGCAACACATGCTCAATCTAGCCAAGACGATAGCGTACAATGATATCAAGAGAAGCATTCACATCTTCTTTTTCGACCGACCATTAGCCGCCAAGTTCCAAGGTATGCAGGTTCTATTCAGAGGCATCATGTATTCCTTAACGAGCATGCACCGACCGGATACGGGATCAGTCTGGGATCGTCAAATGAACAGTGATGGGGTTCACAGAACAGCACAGAGGGAATACGAAGTGGAGATCCACAACTTGACCAGGTTCACGGATATTGGCCGGCTCACAGCATTCCTGACCAAGCACCTAGCCGTGGCCTTTGAGTTGGTGAATATGGACTCGTTCACGCCAAATTCAATGCGGACTACAGCATGGACGATGCGGATTAAATCAGCGGAATGCCCGGAATATCTTCGGGGAATCGTGCGAATTATATTTTTTGGCAGAACTCTTATATTGAAGCATCCGTACGCCTTAACACAATTACAATGTTCCCGCTATGGAAACCTCGGACACATCATGACGCGCTGTCAGTTGTCAGAAGACGCGCACAAAGGGGAAGGAAGTCGAGTGGCTGACGACTTGCAAGTAGCGAGCCTGGACAGCCTGGCCAAATCGTTTGCCAATAGAGAAGATATGAAGCAAAGCATACAAGAACGATTAAAGGTCAAGGTGGAGGTATATCGCCAGGAAGAAACAGTCCTTACACCAGTAGCTCCGCCCAAACTGGAAGTACGTCACACACAGCAGGAGGGAGGGCCAGTAGCTTGGGGCTCTCCCCCAGAAACTCCAGTGACAAACCTCTCAGGCGCAAGTGCAACAGCGGAACGCCATTTGGGGAACCACTGGATACAAGTGACTTTGGCGAAGGGCAGTACGCTCTACGCACATCCAGCCACGTTACAGCGCAAGGGGGTGAAAGTCTCAACACACTACTCGGAACTGTATGATGCAGATGACGAGGAGCCCGAACCGGAGAGTAAGTCGGAGAAAAATTCACCGGTCCAGGACGTGGTCGAGCTTTCATCCGGTAGTGATCAAGAAACAAAACGGAAACCAGCCATCACAGCAGCGGAAAATACCAAACTGCACCTCGTGAAGACTAAGCTACCGAAGTTGCCGGACACATCGCAACTCATTGCTTTAAAACAGCGTCAGCATGCTGTGATTGCAAGTATCATTCAAGCCTTAGGGGACTGTCACGTGCATTCATGGCCGGTATCAGATCAATCCTTGAAGGATGTCACGACGCTCGAACAGATGGAGAAGCAATTGGTAATGAAAGAAGTCTCGACTGCAGCGTCAGAGAATTGCATGGCGATGGCAATAGCACAGGCCATTTCAAACCAATGCCTCGCCGCGAACCCGATGTGATGGAGAAGATGACAGCGGCGATCAAACGAGGGATATGTTGGGCAGGCCAACTCAACTGCATGGAGCAATTTGATCACTTTACCCGCACTAAAACATTAGTTAATATGGGGAGAGGATGGGACGGTATGGATCCCAAGGAATCGAGCAAGCAGTTTCGGTGGTATTTGCAAGAGTATGCGGCCTCGCCATCAAAGATACATGACATTGTGCCGAGGCACAATTGGAAGTCTAGTGAGTTGATGGCGATAGCGGCGAATTTTCTCCGCCGACGTATCTTTGTAGTGGCATTTGACACAGACGAAAAAAATCTCTGGTACTGCTCAGAATACAGGCCGAGCAGTATGACCAGAGGAAGGAAAATATTCGAGACGGGACAACAAATTCCGCTTCAGATCCATGAGTGTCTTTAACGGATACGCCAAGCTAAACTTGATGAACCCCGGCAGGCACCACTTGTTTTACGTTTCTGGGGCAGACACTACTCAGCATTCATTCACTCGGCACCTCTAACAACACCGGTCATGGCAGGATCCTTGGATGAGGAAAAACGAGCAGTCCCATTAGTAGGGGATGATGATGTCGAGATGGCAGCAGACTACAGTCAAGCACTGTCCACTGACAGCGAGCTGCATAACAGGGAGGACCCATGGGATCCGACGACCTGGGCGGGGACGTCGATGAACTCCGCCGCAGACTAATGGGGCTATCGATCCCGCATGACTTGAAATGTGAAATTCACGAGATACTCCAGCAGGCAGCGCCGGACAGCCATGCTGAATTGTTAGCATTTCTAGTGAATACAGCATCACAACTAACATTTGCCGAAAGGGAGATGTTAGTTCAAGCGAACCTATCCAACGAGCATGATTCCGCCACCAGACAGCTCCTCCAGAAGTACCAAATCTCCAGAGTAGTGCTGCAACAATGGAAGTCAACGGTGCAGCCAGCTCATAAGGACGACGCTATGCGAGATCGTATAGGAGATGGAGAAGTGGAGGACGAAGCGTCGTCTGCTTATGCGCCGTCCTCGGAGGGCAGCTAGAGCAGCACGCAATCAGACGTAATTTTACGCCGGCACAAACATCCCCCACCCAAGGCACTGGCCCAAAAGGGCGCACACACTAACCCCCATGGAGTGTGAAGCCATTCGTCCGGACGTGAAAGCCAAACGAGACCATAATCCGCAACAGACACAACCAGTAGTTTTACCACCCAACCTGAAGAAGGAACCAACACTAACAAACAAGCCGGTGAGAGAAGCGTGGCCGGAGCTCTGGCAACAAATGCGGTCGCTCTGGCCGTCGACGGCAAAAACTCCATTTCCATTGGAACAGAGTACAGATGAGGAATGGATTCACACGGCTCGTGAGGAACCTACCATGTTGCTTCACATGGTCCAACGCTTTCCATTTCCGGAGGAGCTAATGGCTTCGCTTAGTGACAAGACGCTAATGGAGTGGACAGCTCAGTGGCGCTGCGACTGTGTTCAGGCTAGATTAATTGCGTACCGAAGCAGGTCAGAGGACCGGGGAGCACTCCGATGGCTGGACGACTGGAAAGCACGGTTCGCAAGGGCCCCACCGAACAACCTTGCCCCTCTAGTGGATAGCAGTGAAGACTGGACCAAGCTCAGGAGTCGCGGTTACGGAAAAGATGAAATCCTGAAACTGTACGACGTGGGGAACAAAAGGCGTCTTGCTCAACATCTCCTATGTGCCTTAATCTATGAAAAAGAAATTCGAGCACTAACGGGACGAGAGAAGGAAAGCGAAAACGGAGCGCTGACGCGTCTGCAGCGTCACCTGGTGGCACTCCAAAGCGTGACTGAATTTCGGTTAGCGTATTCTGCAGAAACGAGCTCGGTGGACTAGTATGCTCTCGCACGCTACTTTTCCAAGGCCATAGAGAAGAGGGCCGTTGAGCGCGATCATCCTTATAAAGGGTGGTACAGAACAGCAGTCACCTCGACAGGGAGAAAGAGGAGGTGGGGCTGCTGGAGATGTCTACGGGCGTCTGATTACCCTGCGCGAGGCAAGAGAGGGTGCAGGAAGGAAAAAGAAAGATAAGAAGGAGTCGTCGAGATTACAGACTCAGAACGTAAGGGGCTTTAAACAAGAAACCCGACTCAGGTGGTTGCGAGCGTGGAGGCGAACACCGGTCCGGGCAAGACCAATGGCTTGGATGCTGCAGGAAACGCATATCACCTCGAAGGATGAGGTGGACCAACTCGAGAAATCCTGGAAGCTACTATGGGGAAAACAAAACGAACAGGACAGTCCGCCGCTCTCGTTTTGGAGTGTGCACAGCTCCAAGACAGGGGGAGTTGCTATTTTGATTAACCCCGAGTACTCGAGTGTGGCAAAACCATGGAACACGGGCGAATGGAGCAACAGAATAATGGCGGTTCGGATTAGTGGACAGCTAGTGGTCAATGTATACGCATCCAACATCCAAGCCGAGAGAGAAATGATGTGGAAACAGCTTCGATTATGGATGTGGCCTCAGTGTGACGTAGTGCTTGCAGGAGACTTCAACTGTGTACAGAGTCCCCCGTTGGATAAGTTGGGCGGTCAGCGAAGCGCTAAGCCGGAAAGTCCCGCATTACGAGATTTGGTAAGTCACCTTAACTTGGAAGATGCTGTGACGCTAGAAGGAGAGGCAGCAGCAGATGACGAGGACATTGATCCCACTGAGTATTTCACGTACTGGGGAGCAGAATGGGCGAGTCGGATAGACCGTTTCTATGTTCCTACCGCATGGACTAATCGAGTACATTGGGTGGAAGTTAGAGAACCAGCTGCGCCATCGGATCATCAGTGAGTATGCTTACACTTACGAGATGAAGTGCAGTCCGGAAAAAGACAGCTCTCTAATAGGAAGGTAACCTCTCCGATTCGGTCCTCACAGCCAGCGCGAGTACATGCGGAGCTTATGGAAGATCTCATCGCAAGCGGCGTTGAAAAACAGGTAACGAGCAGAACCTGGGATCGTACGGTGGACGAATGTGCTCACAGTATCAAAAGAGTGCAGCGTAGTGAGCGGAGAAGAAGAGAGCGAGCAAAACACCGCGTAAACGATCAGAACAGAGCGCATTTACTCACCAGGAGAGAGCTCTTGCGGGTCACAGAGGAAGAGGCCAGAGAAGAATATGAGTTCAGGTTGGGACAGAAGTTAGAGCGTACAATTGAGCAACTGCGCTGGAATTTCAAGAGAGTATCCAACTGGGAAAAAGATCAAACCATCACCGACATTCAGCACAATCATGGAGAACAGTTTCACCGCACCATCACTGTAACGGACAAATTTGGGTCAGAATGGGAACCAACTCTTGGCCATGTGCACAGTTAAGTTCCGCTGGAGCATTTGGAAGGCGCGTTTGATACCTTTGTGAACATACCAGCGGAGAGACAAGTGACGCCAGAACAAAATGCATTCCTGACAGCAGCGATAACCGAGGAAGAGGTACTGATGGCAATCACAGCTCTCAACAGACACAAGGCAGCGGAACCGGATGGGTTGAACAATGACTTCTTCGAAGACGCCCAACCGGTACTTGTACCGGCAATAGTAGTACTAGGAAAGGAATTGCTCAAAGGTGCAGAGCCGCCTGCTACATTCCTTGAAGGACTCATCATCCCGTTGCGAAAGAAAGGAGATTCAACAGACGCGATGGACTTCCGACCGATATCCTTGCTGCAGACCGGATACAAAGTATTCATGAAAGTCATAGCCGCCAGGATGCAAACAGTATTAGGGAAAACTATTGGGGATTCCCAACAAGGTTTCGTGCGCGGCCGTCAAATGATGAAGACGGTCATGATGATGCTAGCTATTATTGCCACAGCGAAGAGTGAACCGGATTTAGCAGCACGGCTAAGCAAAGTCATTCTCCTGCTGGACTTTCGGAAGGCTTATGACACAGTTTCTCGAGAATTTCTTTTTCCAGTGGTGCTCAGATTTGGATTCTCGACAAACTTCGTTAATTTGCTACGACGGCTTTCACGACGGAACCTCAGCGAGGTTCTTGGTAAATGGAGAGATATCGCGGGCTCAATCGGTAGTGTCAGGTATTCGCCAAGGATGTCCAGAAGCGCCACTACTTTTCATTATAGCAGCGGAGGTGCTCGCACTGGCCATACAGCAAGATTCAGCATTAGAAGGTATTGAAGTACCAGGAACAGGGGGGCAGCGGCACCTATTCTCAGCCTTCGTAGATGACTCTACAGTCTTCCTACAACAAGCTCAACAAACTCCCCGAGTAATGCATATCGTGGACCAATTTGGCAAATTGTCTGGCCTGCAAGTTCAACCAGCAAAAAGTCAACTTATATTCCTCAACAAGGCGGTGGACACGCTCCACTTTAACGGACTATCCGTATTGAAGCATGGAGACACGGTGCGGTACCTGGGTTATCAAGTAGGAACTGGAGCTTTAACAGTAGTGAACTGGGCAACTCGTATCCGTAACATCCAACGACGACTAGCCACAGCTACCAAGTTAGCGACTAGTGTGGCTCATCGAGTGCTGATCTTGAACGTCATCATGATGCCGTCCGTGCTGTACACAGCGGTAGCATTCGAGATGCCCCTATGGGCTGAAACCCAGATCCGGAATATCCAAAAGCAGTTCTTGTGGAGACATAGTACTGCAACGGATAAAAGTCGTCATAACTCAACCCGGGACTTGTATTTACACCGAAGCAAGCGGGGGGATTGGGTCTGGTATCGATCCCGATAGCGTGTAAAACTCAGCGCGTAAAGCAGACAATTCTGTGGCTAGTACAGCGGAAATACACCTACTGGTACGCCTGGAAGGAGTGGGTATTCAGGGGAGCGAGCGAAGAGTGGGGTGAAGTAATGTCACCCACCCAAGCGACCGCACGAGAGACTAGCACACTCACAGGGAGGCCAGGTGAACGCATACAGCAACTAATCAGAGTTGGATGTAGCCCGCGGAGGAACTCACAGCGGACTCCATCCTGGCGTACCAGAAGAACATCAATAGACTGGAAGCGGAATCATTAAGTTGGACGGTAGCGGAGAGATGGATCATAGACTTACCAATCAAGCTGGGGACACCGTGGCGAGCGATGACAACCGATGAAGCAATATTCTGGCCAGCCTTCAACTGGAATGCCAATCCGTGGATTCTGGATAAAAGAGGTAACACCCTGAGTCGGAAGAAATTCGACAGGATACAAAGTTGCACGGTGGAAGCACTACATATCACGCGTACCACTGACACTACCTACGAGTTCTCAATTCCCGTTGAGGGAGAAGCGAAACATCAACAAGCAAAGCTGCGCAGGTGGGGTCTAGCTATCCTACTTAGTGCGCCATCGATCGCAGTTGGGGCAGTACTCCAGGTGACGAACAAACTCACACTGCGGCATCCACCCACGCTCATGAAGGGCTTTATCTGGCATATCTTGCAGGACGGAAGAGCACGAGGATCGAGGGCTTCTGGTACAGAAGCCGAAACAATAACAATCACGTTGGAGCAGATGCCCAATGGCATAACATGGAAACCAGTAACATCGAGTCCAGCGGAGACCCGGCCACAGGAGAAAATGGAGAGAGCTAGAACGATTAGGAGAAACTGGTTGTTTAGTCTTCTTCGCGTACCCAAGGATTCACAGCTTCCCATGGACTGTTAAACCAAGTGTCGCAAACAAACATGTACTGGCAGTGTTGAAAATGCAACCCTTCAAGAAGTACAGAGGAGACACTGGCCAACTACGAGGGCACATACAGCGCCTCCAAGAAATAGTAGCAACGAGCGGGTGGCAAAAGGCAGCAATGCAGCAAACGCCGACGCAAGTATGGTCCCACAAACACCAACTCACTGAATACCAGGTATGGGTGAGTTATCGTGTAGCTGTCCGGCAGCTCAACTTGTATCATGAAGGCCGTCGCCAAGACAACAGTTGTCCAAAGCTACAAGCATGTCAAGGGACAAAGGAGACAATAGAACATATCTTCTGGAAGTGCCCCTGCGCACAAGTCTGCTGGAGCAAGCTCCTACAGCATTGGACAGGGGAATGCTGGCAACCAGAGTATATTGAAAGGTTTCAGACGCAATGCGCCAGCCGCAAGGCACCGCAGATATCACAACACGTCCAGAAGCAATTGTGGCTTCAATTCCCAGATGCGGCGAAGGAGACTACGGCCATCTGGTTGAGAATATGGGAGAAACTCTGTAGCATTTGTCTCACAAGCTTATGGATACAGAGAAACCGAGTAGTCTTCCAACAAGATAAGACCACAGAGGAAGCAAGTAGCCAGGAGTTTTGGGCGACAGCCACGAGACAACTACAAGCCCTGGGGAAGCGAGAAAGCCGACGTCCTGAATCTCAAGAGCAAGGAACGCAATTGCTGTTATGCTTACGGGTACTAACAAAAATACCAAGAGAGCATCCCAGTCCTGGGGTGAGCCTCCACCGGACCAACAGGCACCGGCGTTGCTAACCAGGCTTAGGCAATACCAGACATCTAGTCATCTATAAGACCAAACAGAATAGTCTGACTCTCGCTCTCTTTCGTAAAAGTCTCTTTCTAAATTGCCCGTTTATGTGCATCAAATCCTTTCGCTAGTCCGTTTACATGAGGCCTGTCTCAATTGACGACGAAAACAAATTGTCACACGATGGTTTCTTCATCGTGAATCACGATTCGTGATCCCCATGCAAAAAGCAAGGTTCAACAGTTGCATCAGTTAGCGACACATTTAACAATTAAAGCTTCGATAAATACTGTAGCTGGATTCTTAGTACAGACTACACCCCGTTTTCGCGCCCTTGGACTTTTGATAAACTTCCGGATGTAATGACTCTGAATCCAAATTAACAATGATTTGTAAGCTAAAGTCTGATTTACATGTATTTGCAAATCCTATATGGTCCACCCCCGCGAAAACGGGGTGCTTAATACAAATCGATCGCGAGCCGACCTTCACCTCAGGTGACTGCTTTGCACTGAGTCAAAATATGTGCCGCGCATCGATGATCCTATTTGCTGGTTACATTTTCGTTTCCCACGCCCCGGACGGAATTCTAAGTACATGTAGCTGACCCTTTCCAACTCAGTCGACTTTTCTAGATACTAAAAAGAGTTGATTCAGCTAGAAATAACTGGCACCACCTCCAAATGACTCGTCTTCAGACAATTCGCTCCATGAAGGGGAGGGGGTCTTTTCGTGTCGCTAGCAGTCTTGCTTGAGGGGCGCTTCAACGGGACGATACCCTGGTATCAGTCGCCATTGGCGACTCGCCAAGCGTGGTGCGATGATCAACGCATCAAAATGATATGGATGACCTTCGTTACGCACGACAACGTTGAAGTGGAGATTTGCTTGGAACGCAGGAGTCCTGCGGCAGGACGCTCGGCTCAAGTGCCGCATTCCCACATGGGGTCGAGTTGAAAGCGGCGTTCAGCGAACTGATACTTCTCCTAGACTTTCGTAAGGCGTATGACACCGTTACGCGAGAATTTCTCTTTCTGGTGTTACGCAAGTTTGGGTTCTCCCCGGAATTCACCGAAATGATACGGAAACTGCACGATGGAACCACAGCGCGATTTCTAGTAAATGGAGAGCTGTCGGAGCTGCAGCCAGTTGTGTTTGGTATCCGACAAGGATGCCCATTAGCGCCTCTGCTGTTTATCCTAGCAGCAGAAATTCTCTCTATGGCTATACAACAGGACCCAACACTCTCTGGAATAGAAATCCCTGGGATGCCAGGGGTCAAGCATACCTTTTCGGCATTCGTAGATGACTCCACAGTGTTCTTGAAGGAGGCTCGGCAACTACCACGAGTGATGGAGATCGTAGAACAATTCGGGCGCTTGTCGGGGCTGCATGTCCAGCCCACAAAAAGCTGCGCGATTTTTCTGAACAAAGCAGTGGACGTTCCCCAATTTCACGGGATCCCAGTGCTTCAACCGGGAGCCACGGTAAGATATCTGGGGTATGAAGTAGGAACGGGCAAGCTCACGGACGTCAATTGGGCAAAAAGAATTCGAGCAGTGCAGAGGCGTCTTGCGACAGCGGCCAAGCTGGGTACTAGTGTCGAATTCAGGATCAAGATACTCAACGTCATCATGTTGCCGTCGATTCTCTTCACGGCGGCGGTGTTTGACATGCCCAAGTGGGCGAATGAGCAGCTTCACAACCTACAGAAACAGTTTTTGTGGCGCCAAACTACCTCGACGGAGGCATCACGCCATAAAATCAGTCCAGCCCTTCTATTCACACCCAAACAGGCAGGCGGAGCAGGATTGGCATCGATTGAACTGGCCTGTCAGACGCAACGAACGAAGCACACTCTCCAATGGTTAATCCAGCGGAAGGATCGGTATTTTTATGCGTGGAAGGCATGGATGTTCAGGGGTCTCCCGGAGTCCTGGAACGGCAGTATAACGCCCAGGAAAAAGTTGTCCGGCAGAAGTCGACGGAGTTTGGATACTCCCGGGGTGGCACTAGCGCACACAATGGGGGAATGGGTGTGGCAAACAGCGCGGTTGCCTAACGACGACCTACGGCAGGCCCAGCCTCCAGATGACGACTTGGCAAAACGATCTATTAGCTGGTTCTCAGATGGCGAGTGGATAGTGGAACTCCCACAATTGCTCCCAACCCCCTATCGGGAACAATCGACGTCGGAAGAGCAATTCTGGCCGACGTACAGTTGGGCTAACAATCCGTGGGTCGTAGACAGCACGGGAGCCACACTCAACAGCCGAAAATATAACCGTATCCAGGAATGCTTGATCTCCGACTTGGCAATTCACAGGACAGGCAAGTGGACATACTCAATGATAATTCCCGTGGCAGGAGAGCAGAGGCATCGCCAACTAACGTTACGGCGCTGGGCAATAGCGATTCTGAGGAGCTCGCCGCGGTTAGACATAGGGCAATCCATACAGGTCAACCCGGCCTTACGCCTACGAAATCAACCAGAGCTCATCAACTCCTACAACTGGAGTTGTGTGAGCCAGGCACGCGCCATCGGAGTATCGACAGATAATGCCGCTGGGAGGGCATGTACTATCCAACTCGAGCAACAATCCAACGTGGAGGGTAGTCGAGGGCCCCGCGACAGCAGAAGAGGTGCACCCGAATATTCAGGTGCTTCAGCACAGTCAGGATGACGGGGGCATCGTCTCCGAGGCACACCTCTCGATTCATGGCATACAATGGGATGTGCAGGCGACAATTGCTAACAAGCGAGTGCTGTCAGCTATCAACAAGCAGCCTTTCAAACGCTACCAAGTTGCAGAGAAAGGATTAAAGACCCAAGTGGACAGACTAGATGTACGGAGGAGAACCGACGAGTGGCAATGCGGGGCCCTAAGCCAACTACCGAAGCAGCTCTGGTCCCATGGTAACGAATTAACAGTGTACCAAGTTTGGGTGGCGTACCGGGTCGCTGTGGCACAGCTAAATCTCTTCCACGTAGGCCGACTAACGGATAATAGCTGCCGGAAGTTGCAGGAGTGTCAAGGAGTGAAGGAGACCCTAGCGCACATATTCTGGGAGTGTTCATGTGCGCAGGAGTGCTGGTCCAAGCTAATCAGCCATTGGACGGGAGATCACAGAGAAAGCCGTCGTCGCGAACAGTACCGCAGCAATTGCGCGGCCAGGGAAGCACCGGCGTTAATTACGCCCAGAGTGAGAAGCATCATAGCAGCTCATCCGGAGGACGAGAAGCTCTACCGAGAAGAATGGACGAGGGTCTGGCGTATCCTATCCAGTGTCTGCATTACCACGCTGTGGATCCAAAGAAACCGAGTCGTATTCCAGCACGAGGAGACATCTATCGATGGCATAGTACAAGAGGTTTGGACAACCGGACTCAGGCAGCTAATGGCGCTCGCGAAACGCGAGCGCCGCTCACCAGAACGGATGGAGCAAGGAACACGACTACAGGGGTGTATCAATACACTGGAAGACGAACCAAGAGAGCAGTCACATGAGCTGACAAGCCTCGCACAACCACCGGATCTAGCGCAGACACCGGCGTTGCTAACCAGGCTTAGGATTTACCAGACATCTAGAAACTAAGGTTAAATAGATAAGTCTGTCTCTCTCGCATTCCCACATGGGGTGGGATCTGGGCTCACGTGATCGCCGATTCTAACAGCCCAGCGACGGAGACGCAGACAGCAAAGTAACGTACACCTCACTCCTACGCTTCCTTGCACAAGCCGCCAGTATCACTCCACAGTCCGCTCTGTTCCTTTAGTCTCTTTCTCATTTGTGCCTTCTGGTAGTCATCACCTCCACCAACGAGCACAGCCCACCTAACCATGAAGCTCCTCTCCACCGCGTTCGCCGCTCTCGCTCTCTTCGCCGCCACCGTCAACGGATCGCCCATGATGCGCCAGGAGGAGGAGGCCTCCAACTGCACGCTCACCGGCACCTACAAGGCAGGAACCTCCATCTCGTCCTGCAGCACGATCACCATAGGCACGCTCACTGTACCCGCCGGTGTCACGCTGGACCTGAGCAAGGCCAAAACAGGCGCCAACATCCTAATCTCCGGCACCGTCACGTTCGGACAAAAGAAGTGGGACGGTCCACTCGTTCTACTCGGTGGCAGCAACCTCAAGGTCAGCGGCTCCGGCACGTTGGACGGCCAAGGCGCCTGGTACTGGAAGCAGGGCACGTCCATCAGCCGGCCCGTCTTCTTCCGTCTTAACCGCGTCACGGGCTCCACGCTCTCGGGTTTCAAGATCAAGAACTCGCCTTTCCGTACCTTCAGTGTCCTCAACTATCAAAAGACAACCATCAGCGGACTCACACTCGACTCGAGCGCTGGTGACGGCACGGCCAAGAACACGAACGGCTTCGACTTAAGCGGCAGCAACTACGTCACCATCACGGGCAACAAGATTTACAACCAGGACGACTGTCTCGCCATGCAGTCCAGCACCAACACTGTCTTCAGCAACAATTACTGCAGCGACGGCCACGGCATTTCGATTGGCTCGCTCGGCGGCTCCACCGTCAACGCAGCCGCCGTCTCCGGTCTCACGGTGAGCGGCAATACCATCGTCAACGGCGTCAACGGCATCCGCATCAAGACCATCGTGGACCTCAAGGGTCTCGTGTCCGACGTCACGTACACGAACAGCAAGTTGTCGAGCGTTAAGAACGCCATCGTGGTCCACTCCGACTACAGCAAGTCCAAGGGCGGCTACACCGGTAAGGCCACGAGCGCCGTCACCATCAAGGGCGTGACCATCTCTGGTCTGTCGGGCACCGCCACCAACCTGTACGACATTGTGGCGAACTCGAAGGTTGTGTCGAACTGGAAGTTCTCGGGTGTCACGGTGAAAGCGTCCACGACGGGCAAATGCAGCGGCCAGCCCAGCAACGTCAAGTGTTGAGCTACTGTACCCCAGTGGCGAAATATGCGTGAGCTTATCTGCAATCAGTCTCGGTTTACCTTACAGCATGCGCTGATAGAGGAGTAACCGTCGTTCCCCATTAAATGTTGTCGCAGCTAGCTACTCGCTAGAGCTGTTGCTTAGAGATACAAGAGTCTTCCTTCAAAAGTAAAAAAACGCTTAATAATTGCTCGGAGATCTGATAAATTTGCGCTAATTACACCCTTCACTATTAGTAGTGATTAGTGGTGTGGCAGAGTTATGTTTTAGAAATTCACTTTTGCCTAAATTACTACTACTAATAATAATTATTGCCTGGAATTTATCTATCCTTTGAGCGAAACCTTTCGTTGAAGTCTCATCGTCGCGTCCGTTTCTGTGCAACGTGCGACTATCCAATCCTTTTGCTAGTCGCTTTACTTAAGGCCTGTCTCAAATCGACGACGAAAACAAATTGTCACACGAATGGTTTCTTCATCGTGAATCCCGATTCGTGATCTCCATGCAAAAAAAACAAGTTCAATAGCTGCATCGGTAACCTTTTTTTACCGATACAATTAAATAATTAAAGTTTTGATAGTTAGCTTCATTCTTTAAGTAATTTCGTTACTGTACTCAATACGAATCTATCGCGAGCCGACCTCCACCTCAGGTGACTGCTTGCACTGAGTCAAACTATGAACACTACTGCACCAGGGGTGGACCATATAGGATTTGCATATAAATCAGATTTAAGTTTACAAACAATAGCTCATTTGGATTCAGGCTCATCACATCCGGAAGTTTATCAAAGGTCCAAGGGCACGAAAACGGGGTGCAGTACTGTACCGCGCATCGATGATCCCTACTTTGCTGGTTACATTTTCGTTTCCCACGCCCCGGACGGAATTCTAAGTACATGTAGCTGACCCTTTCCAACTCAGTCGACTTTCCTAGATACTAAAAAGAGTTGATTCAGCTAGAAATAACTGGCACCACCTCCAAATGACTCGTCTTCAGACAATTCGCTCCATGAAGGGGAGGGGGTCTTTTCGTGTCGCTAGCAGTCTTGCTTGAGGGGCGCTTCAACCGAACGATACCCTGGTGTCAGTCGCCATTGGCGACTCGCCAAGCGTGATGCGATGATCAACGCATCAAAATGATATGGATGACCTTCGTTACGCACGACAACGTTGAAGTGGAGATTTGCTTGGAACGCAGGAGTCCTGCGGCAGGACGCTCGGCTCAAGTGCCGCATTCCCACATGGGGTGGGATCTGGGCTCACGTGATCGCCGATTCTAACAGCCCAGCGACGGAGACGCAGACAGCAAAGTAACGTACACCTCACTCCTACGCTTCCTTGCACAAGTCGCCAGTATCACTCCACAGTCCGCTCTGTTCCTTTAGTCTCATTCTCATTTGTGCCTTCTGGTAGTCACCACCTCCACCAACAAGCACAACCCATCTAGCCATGAAGCTCCTCTCCACCGCGTTCGCCGCTCTCGCTCTCTTCGCCGTCACCGTCAACGGATCGCCTATGATGCGCCAGGAGGAGGCCTCCAGCTGCACGCTCAGCGGCACCTACAAGGCAGAAACCTCCATCTCGTCCTGCAGCACGATCACTATAGGCACGCTCACTGTACCCGCCGGTGTCACGCTGGACCTGAGCAAGGCCAAAACAGGCGCCAACATTTTAATCTCCGGCACCGTCACGTTCGGACAAAAGAAGTGGGCCGGTCCACTCGTTCTACTCGGTGGCAGCAACCTCAAGGTCAGCGGCTCCGGCACGTTGGACGGCCAAGGCGCCTGGTACTGGAAGCAGGGCACGTCCATCAGCCGGCCCGTCTTCTTCCGTCTTAACCGCGTCACGGGCTCCACGCTCTCGGGTTTCAAGATCAAGAACTCGCCTTTCCGTACCTTCAGTGTCCTCAACTATCAAAAGACAACCATCAGCGGACTCACACTCGACTCGAGCGCTGGTGACGGCACGGCCAAGAACACGGACGGCTTCGACTTTAGCGGCAACAACTACGTCACCATCACGGGCAACAAGATCTACAACCAGGACGACTGCCTCGCCATGCAGTCCAGCACCAACACTGTCTTCAGCAACAATTACTGCAGCGACGGCCACGGCATTTCTCGATTGGCGCTCGGCGGCTCCACCGTCAACGCAGCCGACACCGTCTCCGGTCTCACGGTGAGCGGCAATACCATCGTCAACAGCGTCAACGGCATCCGCATCAAGACCATCGCGGACCTCAAGGGTCTCGTGTCCGACGTCACGTACACGAACAACAAGTTGTCGAACGTCAAGAACGCCATCGTGGTCCACTCCGACTACAGCAAGTCCAAGGGCGGCTACACCGGTAAGGCCACGAGCGCCGTCACCATCAAGGGCGTGACCATCTCTGGTCTGTCGGGCACCGCCACCAACCTGTACGACATTGTGGCGAACTCGAAGGTTGTGTCGAACTGGGAGTTCTCGGGAGTCACGGTGAAAGCGTCCACGACGGGCAAATGCAGCGGCCAGCCCAGCAACGTCAAGTGTTGAGCTACTGTACCCCAGTGGCGAAAAATGCGTGAGCTTATCTGCAATCAGTCTCGGTTTACTTTACAGCATGCGCTGATAGAGGAGTAACCGTCGTTCCCCATTAAATGTTGTCGCAGCTAGCTACTCGCTAGAGCTGTTGCTTAGAGATACAAGAGTCTTCCTTCAAAAGAAAAAAAAACTCTTAATAATTGCTCGGATATCTGCGCTAATTACACCCTTCACTCTTAGTAGTGATTAGTGGTGTGGCAGAGTTATGTTTTAGAATCTCACTTTTGCCTAAATTAATACTACTACTAATAATTATTGCCTGGAATTTATCGAGGACGTACTGTTTACACCAATAAAAACACGAAAACACCAAAACTATACTATCGGCACCGCTAAAGCACGGCTAGCACAGTAATATCACGAGCATCACCAATTTTTAAGACTGACCACCGCAATAGTACGTCCTGCACCAACCATAATTCAATCGCTAATTTTGCCCAATCCCCAGCCTGATCGTCACAGAAATATCGTCCAACGAGCGCAGCTCCCCGGCGAGGGGGGGGGGTTAAGGCAAGATCATTTTCCAACCAGCCGCATCAAGCTCATTCTTCCAGCTCCTTCATTTTAAAATGACCATTCGACACCCCTGGCAGCTTCTCGCCTCAGCAATGCCATGCGTCCAGGCAGCGAACCTTCTGGATGGTTTCAAGCAGACTAGGGTGGCGAAGAGTGAGCTGGCCCCGTGCTTCGTATGCATGGCCCCTGCCCCGCATCCCATGAGAATTCAGCGCCTGTTTTGCGCGTTCAAGGCTTGCGCTGACGTAACGTCGGCACAAGAGTGTCTGTGGCGAGCCCGGGTCATGTCCTGTCAAGGCGAGGCTTAGTGACGGTCGAGGAGGCATAAACCCATGCCACTCCAGCACGCTCGCCACGCAAGCTGGTGCTGACCCCACCAATGAAGGAGTGTGAAGGACTGGGCAGCCCAGGGACTGAAGCCCAAGCGCATCTATAATGCACTTCTTCAGCGTTTCAGCCTGACCGAGGCGACTGCGCCCTCTCTATCAACTGTGCAGCGTTTTGCGCAACACCATGTTACGGGACGGCTTGGGGGAAGTGACCTTCTGGACTCCGTACGCAGAAAAATCAAGGACTCAGGGTTTACGGGACACGAAGATGAAGCAGCTCCGTTCACATTCACAAGCCGCAGTGATACAGACGGCAAGCCAATCACTGGCAATGGCAGTGACGCTGATCCGTTTGTGGTCGGTGTTAGCTCGAAGAAACTCCTACGCCGTTCCGAGCGTGATCCAGAGTCTTTCATCTTTCACTTGGACGCGACCTACAAGCTCACGCAGGTCGGGTATCCAGTTATCGTTGTCGGGATCTCGGACAGTGTGGTAAAGTGCTTTCTCAGAAATAAGAGAATGGGCCTGACGCGGGGTCACTATCCCGAATCAATGACAATTTCAAGTGATTAGAGAGGATTTGGGTTGGCTGGCACGGATGCAAGTTGCCGGTGGTGGATTAGCCATGACGAGCAGCGCCCCGTATGAAGTGACGATGGATCTGGTATGAGCGATGTACGAGAAGGCAAGATCCACCAAGACTTACCTCGGATCCACCCTTACTTGGATTCACCTAAATGGATATGGGATATACTATACAAGAGTGGATCGGGTGTGGATCCTATGAAGGAAGGATGGTAGGTGCCCTCTAAAGGTGGATCTAGTAGCCACGGCTAACGAGGAGTCAAGATCCACCGCGAGGTGACCCGGATTCCATGCTTTCGAGTTAGGATCCAAGGAGGGAGGATCCCGCCTTAAGGGACCTGGATCCAGGGTATAGGTATGATGGATGCAGTGGATCTAGAACTTTCGTGGGACAGTGGAGATCACAGACGGTTGCGAGATGATGTTGGATGAGTGGAGAGCTCAGATCCACGACGAGTATACACTTTCAAGTGAGGTGGATCCAAGCGACCTGGATCCTGATGAGTGTACCCATAATAGGGTAACCATAATGATTACGCCATGGATCCGGTGGATCTGAAGATAATACAGCTGGGATGATGGGTCAAGGGAAGAAGGGACATGCAGCCGAGCCTGGTAAGGGATTTAGCAGATGAACGACATAGAAGGTAGAAACCCAGGCAGGTATAGGCTTAAATATCAATACAGACCTCAATTTGCACAGTATCACGCAAGTGCCTTCCTGCCCTCAAGAACCGGAGCTACATTGGCCGTACGAGCTCCGAGAAGGTTAGGAATTGCGAATCTAGTGTTGGTAGTGATAACTGGATAATACATTGGCCAGATCCTACAACCTAGTGAGCTTTTCCTTTACTCGTGCAGATCCGACAGGTTAACCGAATTTACTACTTGGTCGGTTACACCCTAGAGGCTCTCAACTTTCAAGATCCCGTCACAGGAGGCGGCAAGTACGACTTAAAGGACAACACAAAGGCAAGGGAACACACCCGCAAGGCAACCCTACGGCCAGATCCACGATCTAGGCCCCGGATCCATAAGCTCGAATATTCGCTTAGGATACGGAACCATCCACGGACGCAGAGTGAAGATTTTCCACTGCTGCTCCACCCCATCCCCACGTCTCGCCAAGACACTCAAGCTTCACCACTTGAACTCTTCGGAAGTTACCGAGAGAGCAGATCCCGCCCTACCGACGGGTACACAAGGTGAGGAAAGTTCAGCAGAACACGGATCATCGGGGGACCCCCTCCGTTAGTCGGTGTCTGGGCGCAGTTGGTAAGTTGGATCTGGCAATCTCGCAGATTTTGCTGATCCCGCTACACCACAATGGTGCGCGTGCCCGGATCTTTTGGTGACTCGGGATTTCACCGTGAGTCCCAAGAAGATGCTCAAGTGAAGATTGAGCCAGGGGAAGAGGCGTCGTCGGAGATCGGATCGACGAAGACGCTGCTGAATGAAACAAGATCCGCGGATCGATGGAGTTTTGGGAGGAACTCTGTCGACGGAAGAGAGGTGGATCCGGATCCGGATCTAGAAGCAAAACCTCTCTATCCTCCCCAGGTCCCCTCGGGGACCCCTGCGGATCTTGACGCAAGTCAAGATCCGCTAACAAAACAAGGAAAAGTGAAGGCGAAACGGTATGCATTTGCAGATTCACCGGTTAAGCCAACACCGTACCTAAACCCAAGCCCGCTAGTCGAAGAAACGAGAAAGAAGACGAAAACGAGTAAGACTACGCGGAAGAAGATGCAAGCTCCAGAGTCGGAAGAAGACCAAGCTGGATCCAGGTCAAGCTGGTCCGACAAGGATCTCGAGTTTGTGTATCGCCACCAGGCTTACGCGA